AGGGGTAACGGAAGCTCCAGGAATTAGAATTAACAATCAGTCAACAACCTCTGAAACTCGAGGCAGGCCCAGGAGCTCCACACATCAAAACTCTAAGTCCCAACACAAACTCTGAGAATCGCAACAGATGGCGCCAACGATGCACTCACGCACTGACCCAGGGCGTCCTGATGGGAGCACGCCAAGATACCAGAGAGTGAGTGTGTGTGTGTGTGTGTGTGTGTGTGTGTGTAGCGCTGCAACCAGTCTTCGAGTGATTGGAATAACTCAATATTAAAAAATATTAACAGAAATGCTGCGTTTCATTTACTGACCGACTGAAGCCAGGCCTGCAGTACAAACGTATCTATGGGCAGCGAGTGGATGACGCACACAGCAGCAGCGATGATGACGCTGGCAGTTTAACGTGGAGGCGGAGTCTATTTACACACCGTGGAAAGGCGGAGCTGTTACCGAGACGGTGAGAGAACAGCAGCTGGTCCCGTGATCACCACCACCATCGCCTCCTCCAACGCTTACCTCCCATCCGATGTGGACAGCGGATCAGCTGGAGGCGCGATCGAAGATTGCAGCGCTCCCAGATCAGCTGTACACACCGGAACACTCTCCCATGTTGCTTGTCTGTGTTTTGTGTTATGGTGTGATGATGTCTGTGCATTCCCATATTACCCTTTTGTGTTACACATTTCCATGTTTTTTTCCTTGCTACCTAGCCTGACCTGTCTCCCCAATGTGATGTGTGTCATATGTACGGTCGGCAAGGTCTGTCATCTCGGTTGTGGCAGCTGCAACTGACAAATAAAGGCCCTCTGATCTCATCTCACCATCAGAGGTTTTACTGGCTGCAGCTCCATCGAAGCTACTCTGTAGCTCCGCCCACTGCCGTTTGTGTCACACACAGAACAATCTGAACTCCAGGAGTGTTAAAGTACGCAGACGAACTGAACTCTGACAGGTTTAAATGACAGCTTGGTGAAGGCTGACGGCAGCCGCTCTGGTTTACATGGACGTGAACAGGGGCGAGTCTAAAGGGGGGCGTGGGGTGGACCACACTGTGTTTACTCTGAAACATTTTTCTGTCTCAGTTCAATTTGATTAATATTGAAACATACAAATAAAAGCCAAATAAACTCTGAGCTGCTGACCTGAGGGAGCTTAAACACTGAACTGTTGTTGATGTTAGTTTGCAGCTGACGTGCTCGCTGGTCTTCCAATCCCATCCAATTTTATTTATAAAGAACTTTAAAATACCCAGCACAGGACCAAAGTGCTGTACAGAAAATAAGTTAAAAACAATAGAATAACAGAAAACAGCAAAAATAAATGAATAAATGAAACACGTAATACATAAAAATTAAAACAGCCCTATATTAAAAAGAAAACAAGATAGAACAGCATCGAATCAACTATGAACAACTAAAATAAAACTAAAGAAATATAAACGAACATCTCACATGGTGTCAAAGGTCAGGGTAAAGAGGTAGGTTTTCAAGAGTGACCTTAAAAACAGGTGGTGACGAGGCCTGTCTAATCTCTAAAGGGAGATCTTTCCACAGTTTGGGAGCTGCTACAGC